AGGCTTCTTCTTTCCATGCCTCGCCTTTGGCTCCGCCCCTTTACCTTCGATTGTCCATAGAGTGTAGTTTTTGTACGTTTGTTTCTCTTCGGAAACCGAATCTTCATGCGTGAAACTTTGTGTGCTGTTTCCAGTGATCACAACTGACACATTCATGTTGAGAAAGAGTGCAAGAATTTTCCGCGAAGAATTCCTTCAACCTTCACATAGAAAATACATCATTTGTGTGGCCAACTCCGCTTAGGTTAATTCAGCTTTTCAATATAATTTCACGCAGATTTCAAAGTTTTGATAGGTGACAGCTTCCTCTGAGAGAGTTGAATTTTACCGGAGGAAGCTGTCAGATATCAAGACTTTGTTTCGTTAGAGCAACGTTAGAGAACTCCATGAAGTCGCATTTTCAGCCCATGGGACGCCCTCCACGCACCCTTTTTTTGGTGAAGTCGCTTACCCCTATATCGAGGATTCCTAATGGCATGGCTTATCCCACGCTATATTCTGCCCTTTTCAACGTCCCCTACCCTTTATTAATTCATGAATTTTGGCCACCTTTAGATTGTAAATCTAAAAGATCTGGAGCTGATCCGCTAGTTAACTAAGTATTTCCAAGGCTATCATAATTTTTTTCTGTCATATGAAATGCGATCCTGATTTCAGTGACCCCGTGAATGGAGCCATCTGTGACATATGCTCCGCTCATCCACTGCCAGCCAACTACAGTGTGATCATTGCCAAGGATATGACACTTCGAGCCACAGAGATGGGTGAGCTGTGGAAGGACACCGCCGGAAATTGGCACTGATTTCTGAATAAAAACATGAGATCGCATGAGATCGCTCGCTTTTTCTATAGAGTGCAAAGGCGGCAGTTGGAGTAACACAAGTACTGCACTAGCTATAAGCGGGCCGTAGTCGTGATGTTGCTTTCAGAACTCGTGAGATGAAGTGTCGTCCCCGCCAACAATGCTTTCTATTCACCTGAAGTCGGCTAGCAGGTGTTACTACCCACGAAAAATGAACCAGTGTTTCTTGCGCTTGCTTGTCTTGCAGCATAAACCGGGAGCCCGATGAATCCCAAATAATGGTTAATAGCAGTGGTTGCGCTTGCTGAGAGGTGGAGCTGGACGACTTCAGTGCAAGACCATCGCCATTGGTAGGAAGGCGTCGAGGAGAGGTTGTCGGACCGCTTCCCACCAGTGCTCTCCCACCAACGGCGTGACCAGGGTCAACCGTTACGTTGGACCGATATTGGAGCGACGTTGGACCGATGTTCACCGCTCTCCGCGCCGGCATTCACTCTCGCCACCCGCGAGCCGTCTGTGTCTCCGTGCGTACGTTCACTCTCGGCATTACTCTCGTCGTCGCGTTGGACTTTGTCCAACGGACGGTTGACCCTGGCGTGACTTTGCCTCCGCCTCTACAAGAGTGTGACCGGTGCTTTTAAGTATGTGCCCGTTCAAGAAATAGTGTCGACAAAGCCCGTCATTTATTTTTCATTGCGTGAGAGTATATTTATTTATTAAAACATCGATCACGTTGGTCGCACAACGATATCAGCATTAAAGACGTGCAATAAGACTCATGTAAACATCGCGATTTCAGAGAAAAAACAGTTTAAGACGATGTTATTCAATTATGTACAGTACACGGTGAATATTAACCGTTACAAATCTGCAGAAACAATGAGAGTAATCCCAGAATAATGCCTCCTATATTGTCACAAAGAACCGTTTATTTTCTATAGTCAATCGATTTGAGGGTTGAACTGCTTTATTTTTCCACATAGTCGTAATTTTCGCCGATACCCTTTGCTGACGCTGTGGGAGTTTTACTATGCCCATGTCATACCAGCATGCCGC